ATATTAAAAGACTAATTACTTTCACCCCAAATACTAATTAGTTGTAATTTTACATTTCTAAAAGTTGCCACTATCCTAGGTTTTGCCCATTTGTCAGAAATAATTTTTTACTCATTTAAAACACAATCAAATTTAATATGCTCTCTTATTCTTTTATATATTTTAACATGTACACGTCAGAATAAGCATGTTTGAATTTTTACATAAATGTTGTGTTACACTGAATAACAATGTAACATTATTTCAACCAAATTTTAGCATTTTATTCTCCAAAAACTTATTTGAAACCTTAAAAGTAGACATTTTACTTACATTTAATGTGCTTTCTATAGACATAAAATCACTTTTGTACATTTCTTTTGATGCGGACATCTTAACGTCTTTGACCCACATACATAAGATCTAAAATCAATAACTATTGATGCTTTTATTTATTTATCTATAATGATGTTCCATAAGCGCCACCTGCTGCATTTGCATTCAGCTCGCCCGCTGTTTTTGTTTCATGCAGATGTTATGTAACATAAATTCACAAAGCTAGTCAGCCCATTCTGCTTTTGCTTCAGATTTTGAAATAATGCATTCTAATTTATATATAAAGCATGTTTAAAACAAGAAAATACAATTAATTTAAATGAGATATATATTTTTAAAAGAAATAATAATACCATTCTAATATGAATGCATATTAATAAATTTACTAATATTTAAAATAATACATACAGTATATATGTAAAATATCTCAAATGTAAGCCATTTATTATTATTATTATTGTTGTTGTTGTTGTTGTTAATAAATGTAAGAGATATATTTATTAAATAAAACTAAACTAAAATGTAATACATTTTTATACATTTATTAATATATATATATATGTGAGCCTGGAGCACAAAAGCAGTGTTAAGTCGCTGGGGTATATTTGTAGCAATAGCCAACAATACATTGTATGGGTCACAATTATTGATTTCTCTTTTATGCCAAAAATCATTAGGATATTAAGTAAAGATCATGTTCCATGAAGATAGTTTGTAAATTTCCTACCGTAAATATATCTAAACTTAATTTTTGATTAGTAATATGCATTGCTAAGAACTTCATTTGGACAACTTTAAAGATGATTTTCTCAATATTTAGATTTTTTTGCACCCTCAGATTCCAGATTTTCAAATAGTTGTATCTCGGCCAAATATTGTCCTATCATAACAAACCATACATCAATGGAAAGATTATTTATTCCGCTTTCAGCTGATGTATAAATCTCAATTTAAAAAAATTGACCCTTATGACTGGTTTTGTGGTCCTGGGTCACATATATACTGAACATATAATATTATTTTTATAATAAATTTAAAAATATATATTATTATAAATACATTTATATGACTTTTTTTTCTAACAAATAGATTTTATTTAATTGTTTTCCATGTAAACGCTGTCTTTCTCACCGTTTCGGCGTGCGTCCAGTCCATTGTACGGCAGCATTCGTATCTGTCCGCGCAGTTCGCTCTCTTGCTGCTCTGCCGTGGCGATGTTAATGAACAGTTCATTCTGCAGCAGCATGTGAATGTGTCTGGCCTCGACGCGGCTGCAGCTTCCCAGCGCTCGCCCGCCGCCGCGCTCCTCCGCCGCGGAGAAATCCGCCGTGATGTCGTACAGCACGCTGCGTTTACTGCGCCGCCGCGGCTTCATCTCAATCGTCACACCGACCACCGCGCTGCTCAAACCCGCCACCAGAACCTGCTCGGGAACATCAGAGCACTCAACCGACGGACCTGACGAAGCCATCGAGAAATGAGGGAATAGAACGGAGCCGTTACCTGGTAGTCGAGCGAGCCGTTGTTGTCCTATCCTAACAAACCATACATCAATGGAAAGATTATTTATTCAGCTTTCAGCTGATGTATAAATCTCAATTTAAAAAAATTGACCCTTATGACTGGTTTTGTGGTCCTGGGTCACATATATACTGAACATATAATATTATTTTTATAATAAATTTAAAAATATATATTATTATAAATACATTTATATGACTTTTTTTTCTAACAAATAGATTTTATTTAATTGTTTTCCATGTAAACGCTGTCTTTCTCACCGTTTCGGCGTGCGTCCAGTCCATTGTACGGCAGCATTCGTATCTGTCCGCGCAGTTCGCTCTCTTGCTGCTCTGCCGTGGCGATGTTAATGAACAGTTCATTCTGCAGCAGCATGTGAATGTGTCTGGCCTCGACGCGGCTGCAGCTTCCCAGCGCTCGCCCGCCGCCGCGCTCCTCCGCCGCGGAGAAATCCGCCGTGATGTCGTACAGCACGCTGCGTTTACTGCGCCGCCGCGGCTTCATCTCAATCGTCACACCGACCACCGCGCTGCTCAAACCCGCCACCAGAACCTGCTCGGGAACATCAGAGCACTCAACCGACGGACCTGACGAAGCCATCGAGAAATGAGGGAATAGAACGGAGCCGTTACCTGGTAGTCGAGCGAGCCGTTGTGATGGAGAGTGAAGACGGCCGATCCGACGCCGCCGGTTTTCCCAGGAGTTAGAGCAGAACTGCTGGACATCACGCTCTGGAGAGCTGAAAGTGGAATAAATGTTACATAATCATTTTTCAAACAAGTCAGATTGATCAAATATAGTCAAATAGATCAGACAGCAAAAAGTCTTGAATGTACTGTAACAAAAAACTTAAAAAGAGGGTGGAAAACTAAATGTTGATTATTTTGGTACATGGAACCATGACTAACATTATATGTGAACTTATATTATATTTAGTGCTGTCAAACGATTAATCGTGATTAATCGCATCCAAAATACAAGTTTTTGTTCACATAATATGTGTATGTGTACTGTGCATATTTATTATGTATATATAAATACACACACATACAGTATATATTTTGAAAATATTTACATGCATTTATATTATATATGAATATATTTAATATATAAACCATATTTTCTGAAATATATACATGTATGTGTTTGTATTTATATATACAGTACATAATAAATATACACAGAACACACACACATTATGTAAACAAAATCTTTTATTTTGAATTTGATTCATCACGATTAATCGTTTGACAGAACTAATTATATTATATTATATATATATATATATATATATATATATATATATATTTACTTGTATTTACATCATTTCCGAAAATGTATTGAAATAAAACAATTTGATGTAAATATAGCAAAGTCTTAAAAGTACAGTAGCAAAAACTATTTTTGTAGTTAGAAAGAACGTGAAAAACAACATTTTGATTGTTTTCTTGCATAAAACTAACTGTGACTTACATTATACATTAACTTAGAAGTAAATCTTCCTGAATTTACATAATTTCCCATAAATAAGAAATAGCTTGATATAAATGTATTTTTTTGCTTGTAGTTTTTGTAGTTAGAAAGATGGTTAAGAAAACTACAGAACATGAAAGAGACATACATTTACATAATTTCACATAATCTTTTTTAGATAAAACCTACAATGTAAGTTTAGTCAAGTAGATCAGATACCAAAAAGTCTTAAAGATACAGTAACAAAAAAGTTAGAAAGATGGTGAAAAACTAACAGTGACTAACATTATGTGTTACCTTAGATGTCAATTTTCCTGAATACACTTAATTTTCCATAAAGACTATTTAAATAGCTTGACTTTTTTTTTGTTTTTGTAGTTAGAAATTTGGTTAAAAAACTAAAGTTTTATTGTTTTGGTGCATGAAACCTTGACTTACATTGTAGTTTAACTTATATCTACATTTCCTTGAATTTACAACATTTCCCAGAATGACTTTTGAAATAAAACAGTTTCTTGCAAATCATTTTTATTTTTTGTTATTTGTAGTTAATAAGAGTGTGAAAAACAACATTTTGATTATTTTGTTCAATACAATTAATTTAACTAACATTATATGTTAATTTAAATGTAAATTCCCCTGAATTTACATAATATCCCAGAATCACATTTGAATTAGCTTGATATATTTTTGTAGTTAATTGTAGCTTTTGGTAAATAGAAAGATGGTAAAAAACTAAAGATTTATTGATTTTTTGTGCATGAAACCTTGATTAACATTGTATGTTAACTTGTATCTACATTTCCTTGAATTTACAAAATTCCCAGAATGACTTTTGAAATAAAACAGCTTGTTGTAAATAACTATTTTATTGTTAGTTGTACTTAGAAAGAGCGTGAAAAACAACATTTTGATTACTTTGTTGCATAAAACCTTGACTAACATTATTTGTTAACTTATATTTAAATTTACATAATTCATAATAACATAAATTACATAAATGACTTTATTTTAAATAAAACAGTTTGATGCAAAAAAGTTTTTAATTTAATTAAAATTGTAGTTTTGTAGTTTAATTGTAGTTTTTTTTGTAGTTAAAAAGATGGTGCATGAAATTTTGACTAACATTATATGTTAACTTAGATGTCAAATTCCTTGAATTTACTTTTTTTTTAAATAAAGCTGTTTGATGTAAATGTTTTGGTTTTTTGTAGTTATTTGTAGTTTTTGTAGTTAGACATATAGTGGAAAAACTATATTTTTTTATATCTTGCATTACATTTGAACCTATTTATAAAGTAATAAAATTATAAATAATGATAATATGACCTTTTCAAATAACTTTTATCAGGGTATTTGTGACAGAAAACCTCTTTAAGTAACTTTTGCTTTAAGTAACTATTTGTGCATGTGACAGAAAGGGTGAGAGAACCAGGGAAAACTAAACCGAATGGAGAGTTTTGCGTGTGATTAGAGGTCCAGAGGGACTCAAACAATTACTGTCGCACCGCAGCCAGAGAAACACAATCAAACCCACATGAACTCATGCGGGGTCAAAGGTCATGGCTGGAGTGACGTCATCCCAGGAGACGAGGGAAATCAGCCGACGTGCAGGTAAATAGAGACCGTTTCGATGTAGAAGGAAAGAAAGGATGGCCGAGGAGTAAACAGAGAGCGAGAGCGGCGCAGGATCGTTTAGGTTTGAATTCTTCACACATAACGTCAAGCTGTTAACGGTGCAGCTGGAATCAGACAGCAGAAGCAGCACCAGCACTGTGTGTGTGTGTGTGTGTGTGTGTTGTGTGTGTGTGTGTGTGTGAGAGTGTGTGTGTGTGAGTGTGTGTGTGTTTCTCTTGTTTCACTTGACTAACATACGGAATAACCACGAAACCGATCCTACAGCATTTGACCTCTGACCTCTGGTGGCATTCCTGACCTCTTCACAATCGTCATTGTAATTATGAACGGGAAATCTCATTCTGGCACCAAAAATACCCGAGATGATTTATGCATGACACAAAGATGAAATATAACACGGTGTAAATCACGGGATAAAAACAGCCACAGCAGACAGACGGATGTAGTTACTGATCTAATGTGAGATCAACTGAAGCCTGCTGTCATTTAGTTCAGCTTTGAGCTCACTGTACGATAGTGTGCTACTAAAAGATGATTAAACTAGCCTATAAATTAAATCTTTAATATTTACAACAAAACTTCCTGTTAAAGTGTTGTTTTTGTCTTATTTAATTTTTGTAATATATAACAGTACAAATCAAGGTGATTTATGTATTAATGGGGTTATTTATAAGTTAGTGGTTGATGTTTCCTGTATTTTATTGATTGATTTATATTTTAATTATCAGTATTTTATCTTATATATCAAAAACAAATAAATAAATGTAAATAAATGTTGGCATTCTAAAATTATTATTATATATATATATATACGGAGCCCCTAAAGGGACATGGTGGTGGAAAAAAAATTCGGGTTGGGAGGAAATTTTTTTTGCGTTCCCTCGCAAAACCACTTTTCGGACAAACACTTCCTGTTTACTTTACAGCTTGTAAGTTAGTGGTTCATACAGCTCGTACGTTCATAATGGAGCGGTTCATAGAGTTTTATTTTAAACTTGGACTCAAGTTCAAATACAGTCAAAATATGGTACACAGTTTATTAATAAAATATAGCATATTATGCACAGGAAAGCAGACAAGCCCAGAATAGCTATATTAAAATATTTTCCATTTTCATTTTCATTTTAGTTAAATTTTGTTTTTGTTGTTTCTTAGTGTTTTTTTTACATGTTAAGAATTTTTATTAATGTTTGTTTTATTTTATTTTATTTTTATTAACTTTAATTTCTATTTCTTTATTTTTATTATTATTTTTAATTTAATTTATATTTAACTTTATATTATATTTACATTAACTTTTTTTGTTTTTTATTTATTTTCAGTTAACATTTAGTAACAAATTATTTTTTTTCTTCTGGTTTTAATTACCGATAATAACTCACCATATCTGTATCGGCCGGCGGGACTCTGAACTCCAACGCAGTGTTTCCATCGGAGTCCAGGAAGGTGATGAGGCTCGGCCGGTTCATCCTAAGAGACAAGCACAAGTGTAAAATGAGCGGCAGAGGATTGTGATGGCCCTCACATCTGCTCTGGTGTGAGTGTTACCTCTGGAACGTGATGGAGAAGGTCAGGCTCGTCCGAGTGAGAGTGAATCTGGCTCGAGCGACGCCGCTGGAGTCCCTCGCACCCGTGAGTACAGCCACAAAATCTGTTCAACAATAACTCAGGTTAATCATACTCGGACAATCATTTAACCCTCATAACGTATTCGGAAGAAATGCATAGAAATGTGTAAACAATGCATAGTTTTTAGCAAGCGATTGAAACTTTGCATATGCTTTAAGACCCTCAAAATACACATCCTTTATTTTTTTCGGATTTTTTATCATTATTTTTTAAGAGATGATAAACATTTCGTGCTCGGGTCATTTTTGACCCGCGTATGTATGGAGCACCATTTGGTGTCAAAAATACTTTTGTAAAAATATCTATGAAATTATATTAGTGTCTTCATATCTCTCACACTTTTGGGACTGAATTTTGTTGATAAACATGAATGTGTACGTCAACTGATGAACCTGCAGCATTAAAAATTCATCTGAAAGTAAAGATTTATGCAGGTAAAATAAGTTTATTAAGTTTGTTTGTTTATGTTGTTTTGTTAGAAAAAAATATGTAGGTTTCATGAATTTGGACCAGTTTTTAAACAATCATGAGTTATACATTCAAAGAATTGAATTAAATTCCATTCATTCCAATTGGGTTAACACCGATAATTCTCAGGTTATATGTTTGTATAAATTTCATACAATGATATATTCATATAGAATTTCTCACCAATATTGACAAAAATATATATAAATTTTGCATCATAGTTTGTTCAGTTTGGTTCATGAGTAATTTGAGATTTCTCAATTTTGTAATTAATAAAAAATGGGTAAATGCAGTTATAGCGCGGTTACATTCAAAACTTTGAAATTGTCTCTGAAGCTATATTAGTGTCAAAACTTTTGTAAAAATATATCTGGCCTTTTCTTCATATCTCACACACTTTTGGGACTGAATTTTGTTGATAAACATTAATATATATATATGTCTACTGACAAACTACTGCAGCATCAAAAATCACTTTTGCAAAGTAAATGTTTATGCAAGTAAAACAGATTCATTTTGTTAAAAAAAAAGATTCAGAGTTATAATTATGTTGTTTTGTTAGAAATAAATATGTAGATTTAATAAATTTGGACTGTTTTTGAGCACTTGTCGTGAGATATAAGTTCAAAGGGATTTAATTAAATTCCATTCATTCCAACTGGGTTAACACCGATAATTCTCAGGTTATATGTTTGTATAAATTTCATACAATGATATATTCATATGAAATTTCTCACCAATATTGACAAAAATATATATACATTTTGCATCATAGTTTGTTCAGTGTGGTTCATGAGTAATTTGACATTTCTCAATTTATTAATTCATAAAAAAGGGTAAATGCAAAAATAACATGGTAACTTTTTTTAGCTGCTGATCAGATTCAGTACGGCTTCAGTTTGAAAATATGAAGTTATGACTGTTTTATAAGATTTTGATTTTGAATGCATTGTGAGGGAGTCTCACCGGTGGCGCTGTCTCGGTTGCTGTTCTCTTCAGAGCTGATGTAGGATCTGTCGTTGTAGGACTTGTGAAGGTCGTCGTCTTTCTCCTGGAAGAACTCAAACAGAGACTCCGCCTCCTTTCTCCCCGAGTCGCCTGTAACCACGGAAACCAAGATGCATGATGTCAGAAAGATCGTAGAACGCACAATAGAGCCAATGTTCTACACGGACCGGCATCCATAAACATGAGTGCAATTACACCGAAGCAGACCATCAATCCACACTCGCTGCCATTTATCACTCCGTTTGTCTGCGCTGGCCAAAACCTTCCGTCATTCCCTCACACGCACTTTTTCCCGTATAACAGTGTGACGGCATTCCAAAAACACTAGACTGTGTTTCCATTTGTTCACCGTTTGCAGAAACACACTTCATGTGTGTTACCTTTTGGGCATGTTTTGCAGCAGTGTCCTGGAAGCAAGACCGGATCGTCACAGGTCGGATCGGGACAGTCCTGTTTCATATTCCTGCAGCTCACCTTCCCAAACACCTTCCCTCGCCGGCTCCTCTGCTGCTCGGAGAGAGAGAGAAACGTAATAATAAGCAGGAAAATGTTAAGTGCAACGATTATGAAATGAATTTGATTCAGCTTTAAGCAGCTCTACAGAAGACAACAGAGTCATTATTCGGCTCAGTTCAATTCAGTGTTGATTCAGTTTAGTTCTACAAGTGTCAATGTTGCATTCTATATGGCAAAAAAAAAAAACATAAAAAATGTATTAAAATATTACGTTTATATATAAAGTTTCAAAATCATATTTAAAAAAAAAAAAAAATTAAAAATAATTATTTAAAATGACACAATTTTAATGTTGCATCCCATGTGGCACAATTCTTTTTTTATTCAAAATATACAAAAATATGTTAAAATATAAAATTATCAAATTTGTATAAAATGATAAACAGTTTAAAAATTATAATTTAAAATAATATACAATTTAAAATGAATGTTGCATCTCATATGACAAATATATTTCAAAATATACAAAAAATATAAAAATATAAAATTCGTATAGAATAAAAGTAATATTTAAAAAATAATAGTAAAAATAATTATTTAAAATAATATACAATTTTAAATTAATGTTGCATCCCATGTGACAAAAAATTACATTTTTCTAAACATATAAAAGATATGTTAAAATATTAAATTTATATAAAATCATATCAAAACATTATTTTTTTTTTTACATATATTTAAAATGTTTCAAAGGATATAAAATACCAATATATATTTTTTTAAATAGTTTTTTTTTATGATAAAATATCATTAGAATTTTTAAAGTATTTAAACATATATTTTGCATGTTTAAATAAAAACAAAATACATTCACATTTGAAGAAAAACTATTTTTTTGTCTAGAACAACACCACACTCTCAGTGTTGAAAGCTTCCTCAGTTATGAAATGCAGTGTGTGTTTGAGGTCTTACCGGCTCGCAGTGACACATAACGCAGTGCATCACACCGAACGGCTCTCCGAGATCTGGATGCCACGTGTGTAGTATCTTGCGTTGTAGGACTTGTGAAGGTCGTCGTCTTTCTCCTGGAAGAACTCAAACAGAGACTCCGCCTCCTTTCTCCCCGAGTCGCCTGTAACCACGGAAACCAAGATGCATGATGTCAGAAAGATCGTAGAACGCACAATAGAGCCAATGTTCTACACGGACCGGCATCCATAAACATGAGTGCAATTACACCGAAGCAGACCATCAATCCACACTCGCTGCCATTTATCACTCCGTTTGTCTGCGCTGGCCAAAACCTTCCGTCATTCCCTCACACGCACTTTTTCCCGTATAACAGTGTGACGGCATTCCAAAAACACTAGACTGTGTTTCCATTTGTTCACCGTTTGCAGAAACACACTTCATGTGTGTTACCTTTTGGGCATGTTTTGCAGCAGTGTCCTGGAAGCAAGACCGGATCGTCACAGGTCGGATCGGGACAGTCCTGTTTCATATTCCTGCAGCTCACCTTCCCAAACGCCCTCCCTCGCCGGCTCCTCTGCTTCTCGGAGAGAGAGAGAAACGTAATAATAAGCAGGAAAATGTTAAGTGCAACGATTATGAAATGAATTTGATTCAGCTTTAAGCAGCTCTACAGAAGACAACAGAGTCATTATTCGGCTCAGTTCAATTCAGTGTTGATTCAGTTTAGTTCTACAAGTGTCAATGTTGCATTCTATATGGCAAAAAAAAAAAACATAAAAAATGTATTAAAATATTACGTTTATATATAAAGTTTCAAAATCATATTTAAAAAAAAAAAAAAATTAAAAATAATTATTTAAAATGACACAATTTTAATGTTGCATCCCATGTGGCACAATTCTTTTTTTATTCAAAATATACAAAAATATGTTAAAATATAAAATTATCAAATTTGTATAAAATGATAAACAGTTTAAAAATTATAATTTAAAATAATATACAATTTAAAATGAATGTTGCATCTCATATGACAAATATATTTCAAAATATACAAAAAATATAAAAATATAAAATTCGTATAGAATAAAAGTAATATTTAAAAAATAATAGTAAAAATAATTATTTAAAATAATATACAATTTTAAATTAATGTTGCATCCCATGTGACAAAAAATTACATTTTTCTAAACATATAAAAGATATGTTAAAATATTAAATTTATATAAAATCATATCAAAACATTATTTTTTTTTTTACATATATTTAAAATGTTTCAAAGGATATAAAATACCAATATATATTTTTTTAAATAGTTTTTTTTTATGATAAAATATCATTAGAATTTTTAAAGTATTTAAACATATATTTTGCATGTTTAAATAAAAACAAAATACATTCACATTTGAAGAAAAACTATTTTTTTGTCTAGAACAACACCACACTCTCAGTGTTGAAAGCTTCCTCAGTTATGAAATGCAGTGTGTGTTTGAGGTCTTACCGGCTCGCAGTGACACATAACGCAGTGCATCACACCGAACGGCTCTCCGAGATCTGGATGCCACGTGTCTTCCAGCGAATAAAAGCGGCCACCGAAGGAGCAACCTGATTGAGACAATAAACAAGAGCAGCATGAGGAGACCTCCAGACATTTACTGAGAATGTGTACAAATCAGCTTCAAACCTTCAAGAACTGCAACTAAAACGAGATCACATTCAGCGCTGGTAACCAAAACATCTCCTCAGCTTTGTTTTGAAGAGAGAATGAGAGATTCGAGTCAATTTGGCCGTGTATTGCATCTGGAATGAGGTCGGCCTCCCTTTATAAAGCGAGACTATTAAACAATTTATTGTTAAGCTAAACACTTTCAAAGACACGCACGTAAACTGTCATAAACGGAGGTAAATCATAATAAATGCCATTGCCATTGCATCAAAGTCTCTGTGGTAAGTCATAGTGTTTATCTGGTTCTTAGGAGATTCTTATGTTGGCTAAAACATCAGATGCATTGATGGTTTTCTAGGTTTTTGGCTCTAATTGCAACTTAAAACCAGAAATAAAGCTTCTGATTGGAATCCAAATGGCTTTATTGCTTGTTATACGATATCGTTCTTTAAAATAGCATTTAAGGAGCTGAAGAACCAATGATGGTTCACCAAAAACTTAATTAGCCTCCAAAGGACAATATAGCAAATCATGAACTCTTTACAGCCAAAAACTTTCTTGAAAAGAACCTTTAAAACTGTGTTCTTCTTTAGAGATCAAAATACGGTTATATTATGTTGGTTCTGTCCAAAACATCTCTATTAACAGATGATTAAAGTGTTTTTGGTGTCTATGTTCTTTAAAACACCAGATGCTTTTGGCTCTAAATGCAACCTAATTATGATCAAAAGAAGAGTTTTTCCTTCATATGCACTCATTAGAACAAAAAAAAAATAAAGGTTCTGATTGGAATCCAGTTGGGTTTTATTGCATCTGGTGCTTTAAAGAGTTGAAGAACCAATAATGAAAGCCTCCAAAGAACCATAGCAACTCAACAGTTACTGTATATTGCTCTTTGGAGATTAAAATACTGTTGTGTTATGTCGGTTCTATCCAAAACATCTCTATTAATGGATTATTAAAGCTCTTCAGATCACTGTTTCGGTATCTATCTTCTTTAAAACACCAGATGCATTGATTCGTTTTCTACAAAACTAGAAAATGAAGTTATTTGTGGAGGCTTTTGGTTCTAAATGCAACCAAAACCTGCTTGCTCTTATCAAAAGAAGAGTTTTCCCCTCCATATGCATTCATTAGAATCAAAAATAAAGGTTCTTGTTGGAATCCAATCGGGTTTTGTTGCATCTGGTGCTTTAAAGAGCTAATAATGAAACATTAAAGCATTGAAACAGATGCATTGATGGTTATCTAGAACTAGAAAATGAAGTTATTTGTGGAGGCTTTTGGCTCTAAATGCAACCTTTTTTTTTTTTTTAAAGCAAAACCTTCTCACTCTGATCAAAACAAGAGTTTTCCTTCATATTTGGAATCAAAAATAAAGTTTCTTGTTGGAATCCAATCGGGTTTTATTGCATCTGGTGCTGTAAAGTGTTGAAGAACCAATAATGAAACATCAAAACACACTTAAGCTTCCAAAGAACCAGATAGCAACTCAAAAACGGTTCTGGATAAAGACCACTTTGGGTCAAATATGGACTAAAAATGTAATGTACAAATTTATTCCAGTCCATATTTGACCCAAAGTTGGGTTGAAACAACCCATCATTTTTTAGAGTGTGTATAAGCTTCTTCAGTTGAGTTATATCGCTCTTCGGAGGTTAAAATGCTGTTGGTTGTATCTCTTACCGGACAAGCCTTTCGACATCATGGGTTCCGTCTCTGGCTGGATGGGTAACGCGGGGGTCTTGAGTCTCGAACCCAGAGCCGATGCGATGCAGGCGCAGCCCAGAAACCACAGCACTCGCGGCGCCTCCATCCCTCAGAAACCAAATAAATACAGTTCTCCCGATGTAACTATTAACTCAGTTCATGTGAGTCGTCCTGCATGCGCACGGTGTCTTACACGGAGTCGTGTCGGCGCGGCTCCCGGTTTTATCCGGTGTTCGTGAGGAGGGGCGGAGGGGGCGGATCCTCAGAGCCCCAAAAGCGTTTAATACACACCCACCAACACTTGTGAATGATCTCAATCACTTACACGCTTCAGCGCTCGTTGATTCTCTGGCTGGCGTCTTTTCCGCTCGTCCAATCAGTCGTTTAGTTTCTCTTTCCGTCTTGAAAATCCATGAAAATATCATAATGGAGTCATAGATATTATCAGTAATGATGATAATGATACATATATAGTTGTGGACTAGTGCTTTTGTATTTAACCAAGTGTTCGTGTTGATTTAATTTGCTTTTTATAACGAGAGTGCAATGTTTGCGATACTTTTTATTTTATTTGATTACTTTTTTGCCCTTTTTTTCCAAGTAAATATTCACCACAAGCCTGTTGGGAAACAAAATAAATTAAAATAATAAAAAAAAAAAAAAAAAAAAAAAAAAATATTGAATTTGAATTTGCTTTTAATAACGAGAGTACAATGTTTGCAATACATTTTATTTTTAATTTTTTTCCAAGTAAATATTTATCACAAGCCTGTTGGGAAACAAAATCAATTACAATAACTAAAAATAAAAAAATAATTAATATTTAATTTGCCTTTTATAACAAAAGTACAATGTTTGCAATAGCTTTTTTGCCATTTTTTTCTCAAATAAATATGTTGGCAAGCATTCTGTTGGGAAACAAAATAAATTAAAAATAATTAAAAATAATATAAATTTATTGTACAAAATTAAATTGGATGATTTTATATAATTTTATATTATTATAAATTATGTAATTCTTAATTTAGAGGTTAAAGATGGATGCATCAAACAGGCAATCTGATAAAAAGACTAGAACCCAAATTAGTTTGATAAACTATAAAACACTTAAGATCCACAAAGAAGTTTTGATCGTTTTAAAAACAAAGTTCTGGTGCTTAAAAAAAGAGCTCACAAGGCAAAACATAATTCTGAATGGCCTGTAATGGAACATTTAAACTTTTTAGCCTCCAAATAACCCTACAGCAACTGAAGAACCACATACTGCTGAACCCAAAGAACAACTGAACACTCTTTATTTTGAAAAGTGTAGATTTTAATAGTATTTTTACACATTTACAGAGACAGTTATGCAGCCAGCATTGAGTGCATCTCTTAGCGCCAGAGAGCTGGACTGTTGTTGTGTCTCCAGGCCTCTGGTTTGGGCCTCGCTGCTCCACGATTCACATTTTAATGTGCTTCAGCATCCATCAGCCCCCTGCTTAACTCAAAGGCTGAGGGGAGTCCTTTATTTCTCAAGACTTCCTCCACAAGTAACTCACTGAATGCACCCTGAGAAGAACAATGAGGAAGCAAAAGCAATTATATTTCCCTCACTAAGTCTTCAGAGAAGCCAAAAAAAGTTGGAAATAAAGGCTTTAATTGGGTTTTGATGATGAGACTAAACTCATTCAAGTTTGCTGGTTTCATCTTTGATGTTTGAAGTTAAAAACAAGCACTTAAAATAATACAAAGTGCATTTATGACGCAAAAGATCAATGCTTTTATTTGTCAATTGATTTCCTTTCATATCATTGTATCTGTTCCTATTTCATAAAAGGCTAAACTTTCCCAGCTAACATAAATGTTGTCGTTACGTTATTAAAACATTATTTTTGAATGTTCTCGTAACATCCAGTTTTTTTTTACTTTTTTTGGGTTATTTGAACATTGAAGAAACATTCCATTTTATGATTTGAATGTTACTTTTAAATGTTTTCTGAACGTTTCGTCGCAATGTTAAATTTTAAACATTTCCCCGAAAAGTACGTGTAAATAATGTTTTTATTCTAAGAACGTTTTGCTAAAGTTCCCTTTAAGTTATATAAACGTTATTTTTGAATGTTCTCTGAAGATACAGTTTTTTTTTAGAATGTTTTGAAAATGTTTGTTTTTGACTTTTCGAACATCGTGGGGACGTTACATTGGACCATTTTGCTAACGTTACATTTGAATGTTCTCTGAACGTTAGAGTAACGTTAAAAAAACGTTCCACAAATGATGTTTTTGTGCTAATATTTTTAGAACATTATTAAAGACCAGATAACGTTTTATTAACGCTACTGGAAGAATATTTGCTCATAACTCCTTGTTAGGGGATGACGTCAATCGGATATAAATATTCACACTTTCCCTTTAAATTTAAAGACAGTCATGATAATATTACTAATAATCAATAACAATAATCTGTACTGTAAATCACGCTGGTTTGTTGAGGACCTCCCTCTCTGTATGTGGTTATGGGGTCATTTCCCCTCCGCGGGATTTGAAAGGCTCTAAATGATGGCGAATAGGCTAATGGAATAATAAAATAACAAAATAATAAAGTCATATATCAGTGATCCGGAAACCTCGCGGTTCCCCGCGGCCTTCCCGTCATGCAGATGTTAAACGCGGCTATAGAAGACGCTCTACATGAGAAAGACGCGCAATAAACGCCAGCAGGGAACACAAGGCAGAAAGATCCAGCTTGTGCTCTTTTCTCTTGTGAGATTAGAGATAAATAGAGCTACACGAACCCTAAAATGTGTGTGTGCGAGGCACGTATTTTGATGCGCGCGCGTTGGATTTGCGTAAAAAGTTTCGGAATGTTCGGATTTCGGAATGAGTCTCTAATAAATAAGTCGCTAGCATTAATTACAATACGTTGAAATTTATGAAGAAAAAAAAAATATATATAAAATTTGCAAAATTATATTTTTACGAAATTGTATATTTTTATTTAATACATTTTATTTAGGCTATATTGCACAATTATAAATTTTAAATTCTATAACAAAAATTATAACTGAATTATAATGTTGTGTTGTTTTATTACATTTTTATTATATTAGCCTATTATTTTTTAATTATTATTATTCGATTGTTAATAATTTTTATAATGTGGAATCGTTAGTTGAATTTCTATACATCTATATAACACATTTTATTTAGGCGAAATTAAACGATTATAAATTTTAAATTCAATAAGAAAAAGGCTGTAACTTAAATATCATTTTGTCTTATTTTCTTTAATTTTATTATTATTATATTCACCTATAATTATTAAAAGATTATTATTGTTTTATTTATTTTATTATTTACTGTAATTTATAACTATTATAGTTGAATTTTTGTGCATTTATATTATACATTTTATTTAGGCTATATTAAATTATTATAATTTGTTGAATTCAATAACAAAAAAAATTTGTTGTTTTATTTAATTTGTATTATTATATTCGATTTTTTCATTATTATTTTCTTTATTTTTTTTTATCATTTATTATAATTTACAATTATTATAGTTTAAGTTGTATATGTTTATATAACGCATTTTATTTAAGCTATATTAAACGATTATACATATGTAATTCAATAACAAAAAATTTAACTTAATTATAATTTATGCAATTTTACTAGCATATTAGCCATTTATTTCTTTATTTTTATTTGTTTATTTTATTATTATTATAATTTATTACATTTTCATTTGTACAATGTATGTATAATGCATTCGACGCACTCTGGTAATGAGGTTTCTCACGGTCCTGGGTGTGTATGTGTTATAGTCTCTTTATGCTCCGTTAACAGACATGTGAGACAGAACTAAACATCACAATATACACAGCAAATGGTCTGTGTGTGTATTAGCGTTTCCGAAGTGAGTTCACAGGTACACACGAGGTGCTTGAGCGTGTGTGTGTGAGGTGTGTGTGAGGTGTGTTATTTTCATGCTGATGGTGCTTCACACCTGCGCTCGCGCATCCGCCGAGAATGGGAATCGATCATCAATCGATCATGAGCTCTTTGCATTTCATCATGAGGTGATAACAGAAGATATTATGGACGCATTCACGAGGAGAAACCGACAGGAACCTGGTCTTATAATTAGCGAAGAGGTGTGTGTGTATTCTGATATAAGAGTTTCTGTCTTTTCTTATAGGCTAAACTTTCAGATAATACGATTGCACACACGACAGTATGTTTATGTAGCTATGTCAGTATAATTACATCTAATAATTCTCACTTGATTCAAGTCATTTTGATTATATATATATATCGTGGTATTGCCATTTATTTTACCACGTTTTAATGATTTTAACAATACAATTTTTTGTGAATACAACATAAGTTAGTATCATGGTAGGCTATATACAGTATATCAAAGGACAGTGATATGCATTAAAATATATAGTATTTTGATGTGTATATGGTATAGTGTATATACTTTAAAGTTCCTTTTTTCCATTGCATTTCCATAAAATATAGCCTACCTTTTTGGACCACATTACAGTACCATAGTAGGAATATACACATAACATGTGTAAAAGTCAAAAATATGATTTAATATGTCTGAATCCACTTGACTACATTGAATTATCTGCGCACATTAATTTACTACGAGTCTGTTTCATTACTTTGTGTATTTATTGTTTTTTTTTTCAGTATGTATTTGTTTTGCAGAGGCATTTACACTAAATCTACTTCCATTTGAAGATGACATTTCTGTCTTTTCTTAGACAAAAGATTTCAGGTAATACAGTTGCACAGACAAGTGTGTTTGATAAAACTACTGTGGTATTGCCATTAATTTACCTTGTTTTATTTGATTTTCACCATATTATTTTTGGGAATATAATGCAATCAGTCAGTAACATGGTATATATCAAAGGACAATGATATATATTAAAATGTTTAGTATAATTTGGTAATGCCTTTATGTGTTTTGAAGTGCCCTTTTTGAATATATAGCATGGTATTTATCAAAGTACAATTGCATTTCAATAAAATATACATTTTTGGACCACCTTTCAGTACCATAGTATATGAATATACACTGTAAATGTTTTGTGTAAAAGTCAAGAC